AGAAAAGGGAAATATGTTTAATTTTCAAAGATGTATTTGAGAGACACACAGAAAAGGAGAGCTCCTATCCACTGGTTCCCTCACCAAACACCCGCACTGGCCCCGCAGAGAGGCCAGCGCTGAGGTTGGAAACTCAGTGCAGGTGTCCCGTGTGGGTGGCAGGAATCCATTCACTTGAGCCCTCACTGCTGCCTTTCAGGATCTGTTTTAGCAGGATGCTAGATTTAGAGTCTGAACTGAGAATGGAACCTAGGTTCTCTGATGTCTTAATCATTTGGCTGAATGCCTACCCCCGGAAATACTTTTTTTTTTTTTTTTTTTTGACAGGCAGAGTGGACAGTGAGAGAGAGACAGAGAGAAAGGTCTTCCTTTGCTGTTGGTTCACCCTCCAATGGTCACCGCGGCCGGCGCGCTGCAGCCGGTGCACCGCGCTGATCCGATGGCAGGAGCCAGGTGTTTCTCCTGGTCTCCCATGGGGTGCAGGGCCCAAGCACTTGGGCCATCCTCCACTGCACTCCCTGGCCACAGCAGAGAGCTGGCCTGGAAGAGGGGCAACCGGGACAGATTCTGGCACCCCGACCGGGACTAGAACCCGGTGTGCCGGCGCCGCAAGGCGGAGGATTAGCCTAGTGAGCCGCGGCGCCGGCCCGGAAATACTTTTAAGGTCACATTTTATGTATTTTATAGTCATATCTAAGATCATTCGGAGTACTTGTCTAGATTCAGAAAAAGTTTAAATAATTAGAAGCAAATGGCAAAATTCCAGCCTTGTAAGTTCAAGCAAAGAATGCAAAACTCAAAAGAATAGGGGAAGAAACATGCCTTGCACATGTCATTTAATTGTCACAATGGTGTGAAGCAAGCAACGTTATTCTCAATTTAAAGATGAATACAGTGATTCTCAGAAAGATTAAATGACTTAGCCAAGGAGCTTAGTTTGATTCAAACCTGAGATTTGAACACAGGGTCTTTTGATTCTAAGCTATATCTCTTTGATCATCCAATGCATGTCTCAAATATTTGCCACTGGAAAAAATGTATGGGAAAACAGTGTGCATATATACAAAATATCTTCCAAAGTGGAGATGTATGTGTGAAGTGCCCAGTGGGTGATTGGGCGCATAGCTATTATTTTATTATTACTATTATTTTAGGCTAAAAGAATTTAGACAAACAAATATTTTACAGCCCTTTGAGAATTTTTATCTTGCTTTCAAGTGTGTATATCTTTGGCAATGACATTCTGCTTAGTTTTTTTTTTTTTTTTTTAAATGATAGGCTTAGGGTTTTGGGAAGTTTGATTGAGACATGTCAAGGGGCACTAAAATGAGGTGTAGGGAGATAGCATTCCCGAGATGTTGATACTCCCACTAGAAATCTCTACAAGCACTTTTAGTTTCCATCAGACAGTCTGAATTTCAACGATGTTAGTCCTCTATATTTAGAAAAACCAGCTGCAGAACATTATTAAGATAGTTAGAAGGTCCAAACATTTTAGAATTATATAAACTAGCTCACTGATAGTCTCAAATATGTTAAGGAAAATTAAGTAATGTTGGCACTCATGAGTTGATTAATGTGTATGTGGTATGGTGTGAACATTTGTGTTCATCCAAAATTGATGTTAAAATCCTAACCCTAGGGTGAAGGCATTAAGAGGTGGTGGTGGGGAAGCCCTTGGGAGGTGATTAAGTTGTGAGAACAGAGGTTCCTATGAATGGGGTTAGCGCTCTTGGAAAAAAAGCCCAAGAAAGGCCTTTCGCCCCTTCTACCACAGAGAGGACCTATTACAAAGCCACTGCCAGTGAGCCAGAAATTAGACCCTCATCAGATACCAAGCATGCCTTGATGTTGGACTTACCAGCTTCTGGAACTGTGAGAAATAAATTTCTGTTGTTTGTGTAAGTTATCAATTTATGTTTTGTTAAAGCAGTCCAGTGGTTCAAGGTGGTGTAGTAGGCTAGAAGTAATCCTATATGGTTTCAAAAAACAGCTCCTTTCTGAGAAACCAGAGATCTTTGAGTTCACAACTAGTCCAGTGAAGTCAGATTATGCTAAAAAAGCCTGTTCTTTTGTGAACTACTCAACCTAGATGATCTGGATGAGTGAGAACAGTTGGCTGTAAAAGGCACCTAAGGAGACAAACACCTGCTGGCAGGGCATAAACAGCTATCGCCTAAGACAAACTGGTCCAGCCCCCTGAGGACTGAGGCCTGACCTAATTCTCCATGAATGGAAATGCATGAGACTTAATTTTGCCAAGAACGAAGGTCAAGTTTATAAGAATTAGATAATGGCAGCTGCAGGGACCATTTAAGGCTGAATACACATGCACGGTAGTTAGAGAGAGCATGGCTTTTAGAAAGTTTGAAACACTTTTGGAAAATTCACAAAGTCATTTTTTTGTTCTAGATTTTGGGATCATAATTATTTTACTTCTCTTTTACTGAAGTTCATCCAGGAACAAAAGACAGATTTAAGAAGCAAAAAGGTATCAAATTATAGTGTTAGTTTTATGAATGGCTAAACCAGATTGGAGGACCTGGCTGATTTCTATCTGATTCTAGGAATCTAAGACCGCAGGATGCCAATTCACCTACTCAGCAGTGGCGAGAGAGTATGGCATTGCACGGCAGACACCTGAATGCCATTTACAAGAAATAGCCAAGCCTGGACATGACACAGTCTAAATGCTTCATACCTTCACTCCTTGTCTGTATTTCCATGAAAGCTGAGCTTCCATCACCTTCAACAGCAAAAGAAAACATGTGCACACACAAGCATGCATGCACTCACATACATACACTGCTGTGCCATCTGGAGTCGTGCTTGGGTCCATGGGAATTCTATTTTAATGAAAGAAGAAAAGCTCTTTTATTCTGAACACTTACAGCTCCAAATGGAGATTCCTAACAGAAAGTGTCACATGGAAAATACTGATTCTTTACTCACCCAGGGCTGAAAGGACAATTGCAACAGCAGTGGCAACAGCAACAACAACGACAACAGAAAACAGGACATTTTATTCTATATCACATTTATTATGGAACGTGAGATGCAAAAAAAATCATATTCTAAGGTTTTTGAAGGTAAAGTTGTCATCAGTTAAATTCCAGTACTTTAAACATCCATTCAAAATTCAAATCCAAAATGAATGTGGAAGCCTATGTAATTCTAAAATCTTTTAACTTGTATTATAACCTTTCACCTTTTTGCTAAGAAATGAAGTTTTATTGGTGAATATCTGGAAGATGGGATCTTTCTTAAATAAACAGTTTGTGATCTTTGTATGTGGACATAAAAAGGTGGAACTTTAGGTTCTAACATTGACATTTATAAGTGGACTTTTCATTTTGAATATTACCACTTCTTCAGTGATTTAACTTCACACTGCAATTTTGGTATATCTTAGCTGAGTATTTACACACAAATTATTTCATATTGACAGCTGTTAATTTTTCTGGTATCATTTCATTTAAATTAATACATGTCTTCCAAAATAATTACATAAATTTATCTTTTAAGCAACAATAAATATTGACAAACATCAAGATTTCAGATATGCTGCACTTAAAATCAAGTATGTATTTAGTAGGTAAAAAAACACCAACAGCTATAGTTGTAGCTTTTTTTATACTTGGCTATAACTTTTATTTAACATATAAAGACAGCACATTGATTCTATAAAACATAAATATATATTTGAATACTATTCTTAACTTTCTACTGAGAAGTGGTTATATTAGTACTTTGCCAAATGGAATTCCTTTTCAAGGGGTGACTCTCATATTTCCATTCCTTTCATCAACCCAACACTCAGCAAAGATAATTTTTTAGTGTCAAAGAACTAGGGTTAAATTGCTTTAGGTTTTAGGAACCAGATCAGACTTTTTGATCCCTAATGACAAGATCGATTCACTGATTGGAACTGTGACAAAGTGATAAATCTTGCCCAGTGTGGAAATTTGCTGGCAACTCTCCTAACTTGGTCATCTCTTCTCCACATTGCCATTGTCATCAACAACAGTAATTTTTTATTTAAGTTCATCTTAAGGAACTCATAGCTGCTTTTATCCTACAACAGTATCTGGACTTTTTGTTTTCATTCTTGGTGTTGGGAGATACTTCTTTGCTGATCTCAAGAGAAGAATGCCTACAAAATTGTTTTCTACTTTTAGTGACTACATACTTTTTTGAAATCTAGGGATACATCTTCCAAAAAAAAAAAAAAAAAAAAAAAGGAGAGAGACTTTAATCAGTCAGCACATGCAAATAAACACAATGATAAATGACCAAATAGAATTTCCATATATAAAAGTAGGTGCATAAGGAACAGCATTTATAAAAATTGCTCAGGTACTAGCCTTAGTAAGGATTTTCAAAGCTCAGTGAACCTCAACTTTCCTAAGCAGGAAATCTGCTACCAGAGAGTAATACTACCTAATAGGGAGAATCTGTTCCAATGGTAATATTTGGATTATAGACTTATCATAGTTGTCACTTTAGTTTGTCATTTTAATTTTTGATTTACTTAAATATGCTAGGGTGAATAAAATGTGCTTCTATGTGCATGGATGTGGATAAGCTTTTATAGTTATGCTGGGTATTTTTTTATGTGTAGAAAATGAAGAAACATTTTGATTAGCCCTTTTGAGGCTTCTGAACAGCTTCTTCTTCCCTTTTTCCTGTAACTGCTTTGAGGATTTAGATAATTCATACAAGGTATGTACACAATCACACCCATAGTATGTACATCCTAGTCACACACGTAACACAGAGAGGATGTGTGAGGAATGCAAATCATCCTGGCGGTCAAAAAATTGACCTTACCTGTGCCTAATGGTGTGGTTAATTAGCCCTGGCAGATTTAATAACATGCCAATCTACTGATTACTATATTCAATCTTTGTGATAATTATGTTGTCTACTTTCATAGGTGATAAAAAGGTGAAGCAATAAACAGCCCTTTCTGACCTTCACAAATGAAAGGACAAATTCCATTACCGAACACACATGCAAACTTTTGTTAGCTTTATTCATTTTCGTACATGTGCCTACCCGATGGCAGTAATTGGCCTTTACGTGGGTTACAGCATGTTGTTTTTTTCTACACATAAAAATAGAAAACCAATCACTCACAGACTGTATACACTTAGAGAATGCACTGACATACCACGATCAGATACAGTATTGTGCACAACATACTGCTCACACATTAGTACAGCAGAGATAAATACATGTAGGAATTCAGTCATTGTGAGTATATATTTTTCTTGAGTTTTCAGGTCACATGGAGTTTTCTCAACCTCAATAAAAGGTATCTCCAGATGCCCTTAACACAAAAATTAGTCTCTCCTTTCCTCAAAGGATTTAGGAGCTTGACTATAATACTGCAATCTCCTGATTCGCCAGCATCATTTAAGCCACAAACGAAAAATATTATAAAAATAATTAACTCAATGATGTGCTCTGAAACAAATGCTAAGGATCTAAACTACAATCATGAAGATACTGATTAGCATGGATAAGTCTTTTCTATTCATTCAAAATAGTTTACACACAGCCTGTACATGTTTTTTATTAACAGCAATGATATGAATCAGAAAAAAATTGCTTAATTGTTAAAAGTTTTTATAAGGCCAAACAATTTAACTTTTAAAGTAACAAATACTAGCAGTGATATAAAAAAAGCAAGCTATAATTTTCACCCTGGAAAGAAACTGATGAAATTTCATATTTAACAGATCAAGCATGAAGTCAGGATTTCTCTACCATTTAATTCTTTCTAACACACTTAAATCACTATGGTGCTCATCACAACCATCACCATGCTGGATGATCAGTGTGTATTTTCCTGAAGTGAATAATATGTGATTTCAATTCCTGCAGTTTTGCAGCCAATTAATTTTGACTTGGAACCCCGAAAGACACCCGAAGAATTAGTATTTAGAAATACCCATCTGGAACATCATTTTCTGTAAGGCATTATTTGAGGCCCCTTTTGATACAAGTCCTCATGTTTTAGTAATTTTACATTTGGGAGCCCAGTATTCATCGCGAAGGCTGGTAATCCACTGGGTGGAATTAACTGAATTGCTTTCCTACATGCTAATGCCTCCAGTTCAACCAAGCTTTTTGTTGCTGTCTTGAGGAGTGAGCCAGCAAGACTTTAAGTGGCTCCTCTTCTGCCTTCACTAGCATGAACAGAGATGGTAACTGTATCTCTACTAATTCTCTCTGGTGTCATACGTCTTGACAGAGCTCCGAAACAAGGTTTCCAGCAGGAAAGCAGACATTCTGCCTTCACATTTATTCTGTGGGTTACAGTCAGTCTTCATAGAGCAAACCATAATTGTCTAATGGTGTGCCTGTTCTAGATGCACTTGCTGGTATAACTGCCTCTTTTTGGCACATTATTGCTTGGCTTTAATTTCAGATTCAACAGTCTTCATTCTCATGGTGAGTATCTGAGATATCTGGGTCTAAAAAATTTTGTAAATAACATCTTGTTGCACCATTCTGGCTCCCATAGTCAATTCACAGAGAAAGTCCTTTATAATTAACATCACTTCGATTTACCTAACAGCCAAAGGCAATATTTCAGGATATTTTGTTGTTTCTATCTACAACATATATACAGACACACTGGATTTATTCTGAGAGAGGTTAGTTGGTTGTGGCAAGTGAGTAATTTGGCTGGTGAATGTTCACAGTTAAAAGTAGCGGTAATGACCTCTGGCAGATGTCACTGGTAACTTGCAAGACAGAACTTTTCCACCTCAATCGATCTTCGTTTATGTCCTTGGTTATTGCAAACCAAGCTGATTTAATTTCTGTAGCAAGGAGAATTCTTTTTTTTTTTTTCCAGAGAGTAAAGTTCATGGAAATCTTTTTCAGTATTTGCAAGACTATATCACCCCCCCCACATCCCCTTCTGTAAAAATGTCTCAAACGATGTAAACATCCATTAGCCCATGTGTCTGCACAGATAACGTTTGTAATTACCCAGCCAGTTGCAGAATTTCAATAAGAAGGATATAGTTACAAGGATGGACAGGAGATTCAGCATATCGCCTGCTATTTGCCAGGTGGCAGCGGCTGACTCATATTTGGAGAGAATCAACCAAGAGGACCACACAGGACACCAAGAACACTGCTAACGGGAAACTGCACACTAAGACACCAAAGTAAAGTAGCAAGCACTGAAGCAGACCTGGGCAAGACTTTGGCTTCACCACACAGAAGGAACAGAGGCTGGGACAAGGTGGTCAGCTCACTTACCGGAGATACTTCTGACTTCACTGTATTTTTTATTATCACAAAGGGAAATTCACAGGCCTCATTTCTCAAACACTGCTTAGGACAAAGCAGGAGAGAGTCAACAGCCTCATCTCCATGGCAGCATTGGAGATAATTAGTTAATCAGGCAGGTGGAGGGCTACACAAGACTACAACTGCCTGTTTTCAATAAAAACACATGTACATATATGAAAACCTTATCCTAACATACTGTTTTTCTTTATAATGATTATGAAAAAGTAGAGAAAGGGTGAGGTGAATTTTGTGGTACTACGAAGGGACACTTTTTTTTTTTTAACACATGCACAGTATGTAGGAGGAAGGAATACAATAGTTTTTTTCCCAGGAAAACAATAATAGAATGGATACAGCAAAGGCTAAGAATTCACATTCACAGCACACCCATCTATAACCTCTGACAGCAAAATTGAAAATCACATCATATCCTATTCTTGGTGTGGTATATACAGATATTCCCAGAATGACATGAATTCTCAGAAGTGAGAGGAATAACATTAGGATAAGATAGGAACGGTGAAATCTCAATACTCTGGGATATAACCAAATGCCATTTTCCTCTTCTGCTTTCTATTTTTAGATGGCAAACTCTGAGTAAGAATCTGATTCCAAAATCCAACCTGGAGGGTATATATTACATATGCATATTCAGTCCAATTCATTTCATTGTTGCTGTTTATAATATTGAAAACATGGCATCTAAAACAGTGAATATCAGACAATTATCATAATTAAAAATCATCAAAGATCAAATGACATTCAACATAGTTGAACTTGTTAAGGTGGGAAAACATAGTAATGCATTTTATAAATATTTCATTTAGGATGCAAACAAAAGGTTTTTGGCTAAACGTGACTTAGTAAAATGTTCACCTTATGCCACTGATCCCCACACAGAGGTTAATCTGGATTTCACTGTATGTAAAATAGTTAGTTTGTAGCATCAAACACCGATAATCCAAAAGACACAATTAGAAAAGCACCCCTCAAAGTAAACACATGACAACTGAAGCTATGACATTCTTACAATAATAAAAACAGGTCAATCAATATTTAAAGAAAAATTCTAATGCTCACTTTGTATCTTGTCACTTCAATCATTGAATTATTTTCCAGCCAGAGTTCTAACTCACCTCTTTCATTACTAGTTTAAGAAATATTTCCATCTCTTGATTCAATAAACTATTTCCTCCATATATTTCAAAAACCCAAATAGGACCAAATTATATCCCAAAGATAAGGGCAGTAAGAAGCAGTATTCAATTCAAGGTGGATCATGCCAGGCCAAATAAGGAATATTAACTGAGTAAGGAAGGATGTTTTGCAACTTCTTTTGCTGAATGATGGATTCTACGGTGTCACAAGTAATAGATGGAAAGTCTAATGCTGTGCCACAAAGTGAAGTGAAGGAAGATTTTCAAATAAAGTTTTATTGCAAAAGGAAGTTAGGGTGGGTATTACAATGTAAAAGTACTGCTGTTTTGAATAGACTCTTCTCTTATTCAACCATTGACGATATATTTCTGTCACTGCTTCTAAAAGCTGTTAGTTCTCTAAGACCCAAGAAGTAACAAAACAAGAAAGATTTTGTAATCTGTTGCAATTTCTAAACTGTTGTAGAAGAATTTAGTTCTAGCACCCATGAAAATGAGTTAAAATTACTACATCAAATATTTTTTTCCTTCAAGTTTTCATGTGAGAAGCACAGCTACAATACCAAATTGAGCAGTTTTAATTTATTTAATGTGGGACAGATGCCTACAACTCTCTCAGGCCTCTGATTCATTTAACTATTTATAAATCATGTGGTTACTCTAAACTCATGAAAATAAATATTATTACGGGATACTGAATTCTTTCTTCTCTTTTATTTGAATGCAGGAACAGCCTGTTCTAGCCTTGTCACAGAAGAGGATTACCTGGGGGCCCACCCAGCAGGAGAGGGTACTGTTGACAGCTGCCACTGTGTACACAGGGTGCACGCTGTGTCCACACAGCATGTGTGCCAGTGTGGGAGGGAGGCAGCCAGTGAGGGAGCAGAGACAGGAGCAAAATCATGTCCTGGCAAAGACATGTGAGACGGGATGACATGAGCATGACTACAAACGGGTACCTGAAGCTGGCAGTGTGGGAGGAGAGATTGAGGTTGAATCTCTAGTCATCAGTTGCAGTTTGGTAATTTGATGGTAATTTCTACTTTAGATAGCTCTATTCTTAAGAGAGGTCAATGAGTAAGAAGTTGAAAACTGTGTCTTATTTAAAGATTCATTATTAAGTTCCAAACGTATCAACTGTAATTACTGTTCCTGGACTCTGGAAATGTTCTGAGTGTGATGCTACTTAGGCAGGTTCCATACACAGTCAAATCGGAAGGAATCAAAGGTTCTTTAAAATTTATTTTTGTTTTATTACTTTTGTTTCTTGCTAATTTATGTTGTATCTAGTTTGGCTGTCGTGTTCAAGTTTAGATATGATTTTCCCCCCATCCATTCAGAATCTGCATACTAGAATTAAAATTAAAAAAAGGCAAAACAGGTATTGTGAATTTACTGTACAAATGATATCTATGAGTCTGTGGGGAGGGAACACACCATCAGAAGCCCTTCTGGCTCATTAGGGGGGATGAGTTCAGAGAAGGCAACCGGTGCCTCCAACATCTAACAGCCTGATTTTCCAAATGCAAGATGGAGACCAGCGCTCTCCCAAAAGTCAGTGTGGGAAGCAAAGTCTTCCTAGGGCCCTGCTCATTCCCCATCTTTACCACGATTCTCAAGCTGCTGCTGGTCACTTCCAGGCCAAGGTCAGACCAGTGCCTGAGGGGACGCTCATGTGTCTTAGGGACACCCTCTTCTAGAGACATGTGAGAGCTGAGATCAAACAGGTGCCTGTGTTCTCAAGCAACACAGCCTACCTACCCAAACTCAAACCAGGTTTCTGTAAAGGTCTCTCTTTTACTTGGGTTTGAAGGATGATATATGATTGTGTTTCTCTTAACCAGTCCATTTGCGGAACAACCTTTTGAGTCCAGATGATAAACTTAATGCAATTAGATGAGATTAGTCTGCATACAAACCCTGAAAGGAAGTTTGTGTTCTATTTGGTGTCAACTACAGTTGCCATTAGAAGCTACTAGACCAAATCAAAAGCAAAACACATACTGCATCTTGTTTATCGGGGTCTAGATTAAACACATGGTTTTGTTACTCATGAGACTTTCCTGTATTAACACACAACAACAAACAGTGCTTGGTAAACTGCTATTTATAATTCTGAACCCAGACCTTAGTATTCTCAGTAGAATACAACTGACAAACACCTACACACATAAAATTTTGTATTGCCAGTAATTTAATGAGTCTTTTCAAGAATTCCGTCCCATGTACTTCTTTCCTCTAGGGTAAAAAAAAAAAAACCAAACAAACAGGAATTTAATCTGGCCGGAATCACAGAGATGCACTGCTTTCAGCAAAGGACAATGTGTATCTGTGCATCCATGTCTGATGTAGGCAGTATTCATATTCAAAGGCTTAACTAATTTTCCTACTGCAACTCTCTTGTATTTATTCACAGCTATAACAAGGTTTATAAAAAGGTATCTGCAGATATTTACAAATACTAATTCATATCTGGCATTTTACATATGTAAATGCTTTATTTAAGGTTAGCTGGCTTAGGAATTAGTCAAATTTGTTTCTTTTTTTACAGTATGGTTCTTATCACCTACTTAAATTTTGTGTGGTAAAAGCATTCTTATTATAATAGGGCTAGAACCGTTAGCAGTATTTTTTGCTAATAGTCTTTTTGCGACTTTTTAAATACAAAGCAGGGATTTTAATGGAAACAACATTGTATGATAAATTGAGGCAGTCGTACAAAAGGACACACGTATGATAATGCAGTTTCTACAAGCAACATCATAATAAAAAAACGGATTTCCACTTTAGCTTGCAAATCCTCAGGGAAGCTTGCTTCTGGTCCTTTGCGTCCAGTTGAAACGACCTTTTCTTTACATGGTTCCAGTCACAGGACCCAAGGATTCTGAATCACAAATTCCTATAGTTCATTCTTGCTTTTTCTTCCTTGCCTCTCCAAAACCAAAAACCGGAAACCCCAACAACCCCACCCCCCTGCCCCCAGCAAAGTCAGAATTGGAGCAGAGGCTCAAGCACAATGGCCGTGTGGGCGGGCCTTCACATGGGCTCCCTTTCAATCTAACACAGAAGAGGGGGCGGGGCGAACACAGCAGTTGGGGCGTCGAAAGTTCTGCAGCAAGGATTGGAAAACACTGTGTTGCCTTCCTTTGAGCTTCTTATTTGAAGATGTATCTGAGGAAATGGATCTCCGGGCCTGGCCACTTTGCGTTTTGATTAATTTCTCGTGTTCCCTGATTTGCCTTTGCAAATGGTTCTGGATGGCGATTCCCAGGGACTCGGGGTCCAAGGAGGCACCGTACACCTCCCAGGTCATGCCCTGCTCATCCCACATGACGTCCCTGACGCGCTTGGACTGTTTCAGATGGGGCTTGGCGTCCGTGCCAAGCTGCTTCTTCTTCTCGCCTGGAGTGAATCCCACCTGCGCGGCCGCCGCCGTCACGTTCAGCTTCTGCTCCTTAAGGAACTCGCTGACCCGGCTGGCCCGGCGCGGGCTGGCCTTGACCGAGCGAGAAGGGGTCCTCTTGCCAGAGCCCGGGCTGGAGTCCCCCAGGGCGTCGGATGGCAGGCTCAGGCTGGTGGCTGTCTTGGTCTGTCTGTTTTCTTCCAAGGTGCTCTCCTGGTTCTTTCTAACAGGAGAGGGGGTGGGATTAGCAGGTGAGCCTGTGCCTCCACCTTCTTGAGTTTTAGGATTGAGCAGTAGAGTCTTGGCATCCGGGGTATCGGTATCTTGTTCTCTGCCTATCTGGGGAGACGCAGTCTTCCTTTCCCTTGCACCTCCTTGATCAGCAGGATCCAAGGTGCTGGACTGGTCGGCTTTGCCGGCCGGGACACAAGATTGGGAGAGTCTGCAGCCTGAGTCTGCTTTGTGGCCATCTGTGCTTTTTACTACACCCTCAGACATCTTGCTTTCAGAGTTCCCCAGTGCCTGGCGCGTTTCAGCTTGGCCTCCTACAAGGCCAGAAATCTGGTCAATGGGGCCAGCCTTCAGGGAGCCTGCGAGCTGGTTACAGGTTGGCTGTTCGCGGCTCTCTGGGCTCCTTCCTGCTGAACTCCCACCTTCTTTCCACGTATCCTGGGCATGGCTGGAGGCCACATTGACTGATGAGGTTTTAAGAACCTCGGTGGGTAGGCTGGCTGGTTTATGTGTTTGGATGTGCACCTGTGGCATGATGCCAGGGCACTGCCCGGATGGCTGGGGGGCTAACAATGGGTCAGAGAGCTCCAACCTGGGGCTTCCACTGCCATGGCCATGACAGACGACACGCAGCTGCTCTTGTTGTTCCAAACGCTCTGCAGCAGGGATCTCCTTTAGGAATGCAGTGAGGATGCTGGGGCTGGTGGACACGGATCGGCTCTGGACAATCGCCACTGCCTGCACCTCGGCATCTTGCCGAGCTCTACTGGGGACTTCCTTGAGCTCACTTTCAGCTTGGCTGGTCATTGTACTGGCTTCTTTGAACTTTGAACCCTGAGGCTGTGCAGGAAGCTGCACGGGCTCTGGGTTTGCAGGACGTGTGGATGCATCGCTGGTGAGGCGGGATGGTGGAGACGCCCCAGAAGGGATGCCTTGTGTATCAGAGGCAGTGACAGAGGGCTGTTTGTTCTGGGGACATTCATCTTCTCTTGTGGGGCTTTCGCAAGACCTTGTCACAGAGTCCCAGGCGGCTTGGTCCCTTTTCCCTTCTGGTCCACCGACAAGAGGGGATGAACGGCTGGACGCCCTGGCTGCTGTCTCTGGAGTCTGCACTGTTGCCTGGATTGTTTCTTGAGAAGGAAAATCACAAGACACTTGATCTTTGCTGCTGCCACAGGTGTCCCCTACAGCACAACTCGACGTCTCAGGTTGCTCTCCCTCGCAGGGTGTCTGTGATTTCACCAGGGGATGTTCAGGTACTGATGAGGGGCTGGTATTGGGCTGATCATGAAGGTTGGCTGGGTAGGTTGGCTGATTGACTGGAATTGCAAATGGTGTGTGTTTAGCATCCTCCTTTCCTGCTGCAAAACTCAGCGCTGGTGTGACGGGCTCACTGCTGCCTGGGAGCTGGGGGTGGCCAGGGGAATTGGGTGTAAGAGGTGCTTTCCCCACCTCATTGAAAACACTGGGAGAAGACATATCTGGCTGGGTGGTCGCATGCTCACAGGCCTGCATCAGGGCCTCAGCAGCTGCACTGGGGCTGAGGTTTGCTTCTGAAGGGGCGCCTGAAAGGCTGTGGGCATTCTTGCACAGGAGAGATGGTTGCTGCTGAGGGCAGGGAGTTTGCAGCTCTGCCAGGGAGTCCTCTTTTCCAGCAGGTGCAAGCAGGGAAGATTTAGTCGGTCCCAGAGGGTCAGGTACAGTCCCCATGGAATTTCTCTCCAAGAATACTCCGGAGCTCTCCCTGGAGTAATGCTCCCCCTGGAAGCCGTCGGAGCTCAGAGTGAAGACAGCCAGGAAAGATTACCTTGAAGAACCAGCCTGTGGATCAAGAAAACAGTCCCATTAACATGGTGCATCATTTAACGACTGAAAACCACATCAAATCGTCGTTGTTATAAAATCTCATTAACACATGAAATCATTTCTTTCTGTATTTGTTGACATAAAAGTAGAGCTTGTGAATAAAACTTTTGAAAATATTTTAATTACACAAATATTATTTTGGTGCATGACTTCTTCTTGCTTATATCCTACTGCTGTCTAGCAGATAGGTTTAAAAATCGATTTATTTAGTTATTTTATTTAGGACAGAATGAGAGAGAGAGATAGAGATCTTCCATTTTTGTTGGTTCACCAGAAGTCTACAACAGCCAGGTCTGGGTCAGGCTGAAGCCAGCAGGTGCCCAAGTACTTGGGCCACCTTCTACTCTCTTTCAGGTGCCTTAGGACGAAGCTGGATTGGAAGTGGAGCAGCCAGAGTCAAACTAGCACTGTGCTATGGGATGCTGATGTTGCAAGTGGTGGCTTACCCTATTATACCACAATGCAAGCACCTAGTAGATGAGTTTTATTAATGTATCTGCCTAAGTTTGAGAGCTACCTCAAGATCATCTGTGTCATGTGATTTACCAGCTTTCAGGAAAATCTCATAAAATTTCTGTACTTAAATTAAAAAGCACTTTAATATGCCTCAACATATATGTGAAAGAAGATCTAGAAATAGATCCAAATATAAATGGAGATTTAATATATGACAAAGAGACATTTCAATTAAGTGGCAAAAGGATATGTTATTTAACAAAGGGTGCTTGTAAATTGTTCATTCATCTGGAAGAAAAGACAAGCAGACCTTTATCTTATACCAATTCAGAAAATAAAATCTAGATGGGTTCAGATGGATTAAAAGTTAAAATGTAAAATAAATAACTAAACAAAAATTCTGTAAGAAAATTAAGAGACCATAAAAATAACCTAAAAGCAGGGGTATAGACTTCTTTTGCCATGGAAATATAACAGGTGAAAGAGGAAAACATAAACATAGGTAACTAAATAAAATGTAAAGCTTTTACAAGACAAAAGATACATAAAAGATAGAAGAGATTTGAAAAAATGCAATCCTTGAGGGTAGGCCAAAAAACAAGGGAACAAAATAACCCTTTGGAAAAAATGAATATGAAAAGGGAGTTTACAGGAAAGGAAATCCAGATAACCAACAAACCCATGAGAAGATGATCAAATTCATTTGTAGTCAAACAAATGCAAATAAAGAAATAATGAGGTTTTACTTTACACCGATTGCACTTAAAAAACTAACTGAGAAAATAAAGACCTAAAATAGTATAGTCTGGAGAGATTTAGTGAAGGCAAGTATTTCTATGAATTGTATGAACAAAGACTTATTGTTATGGCTGTCTTAGAAAAGCTTTTTAGTTTTTTAAAACTAAAAACACATGCGTTTGACTCAGTGGCACCAACTCTGTCAACAGGAATAAAAACTCCATCACATATATATAGAGTAATACATAGGCTTATTGAAGTATTATTTGTAAAGGCAAAAACTGGAAACAAACTGATCCCATGAGTGGAGAGAATCTCAGGATAGTGAGGTACCTCTGCCATTGAGTATTATGCAACCATTACAATAAGTATCTAATTAGGTGAGAGTTTTTCACGTGGGAGGGATTTACCCACAGTGTGGTTGAGTGAAAAGTACAACATACAGACAAGAGAACATATATTCTCATTTTTGCAAAACAATGCTTGAAATTAGTCCATGTGTATTCATACTCACAAGGTGCTTCCTGAAAAAGTGGTATTTAAGTATACTTTGATGCAAAAAAAATTGAAATCCATATATACTTTTTTCACAATACACATTTTCCAAAAACTTTTTGAAGACTCCTTATATGCATGGATTTCATTTTTTACACAAAATAAACTAATGTGTTAATTTCATTCCCATAGACTTTTGAAAGTACATTTGTGTGTTCATTTATGATTACATGAATTCTAAAAATATAGGGCCAGTGTTGTGGTGTAGCAGATTAAGGCTGCACCTGTGATGCCAGCATCCCATATGGGTGTCAGTTCAAGACCTGGCTGCTCTACTTCTGATCCAGCTCCCTGCTAATGGGCCTGGGAAAACAGTGGAAGATGGGCCACGTGCTTGTGCCCCTGCACCCATGTGGGAGACAGGGAAGAAGCTCCTGGCTCCTAGCTCTTGGCTTTGGCCTGGCCCAGCCCTGACCATTGAGGCCATTTGAGAGTTAACTAGTGGATGGAAGATCTCTCTCTCTCTACCTCTTTGTGTAACTCTGCCTTTCAAAAAAAATTCCAAAAATATTCAGAACGAGGAATATCAGGTGTGTTGAATGGAGGGAGAGTGATGAATTGGAGTCAGGAAGGGGAGAATGGAAGTATCCAAAACTAGGGAAATGCTGAATTAAAAATTATATATATCTGATAAGATTTCGAATTGATACCCACATAAAATCATATGTGTGTTTTTGTAGAGAAGAGTCCGTAGACATCAGGTCATGTGGATCCAGCAATGGATCAGAAATTAGTGGACAACTGTGTTTTAACATTATCACTACGAGACTATGTGATCTCAGGCTCAATAACCTAGTCTTTCTGAAACCCAAGTTAACTCATGGCCAAATGGATTACATGATTTCTACAGACCCAACCAGCTCTACAATTCAAGGATCCTACTCCTTTAGTTGTGATGGGGAATGCCTCCAACAGTGCAATCTTAATTCACACTCTTAGGTGTCAAAAATCAGGGTAAAATCAAATCTGGTTGGGCCCAGATTTTTAAAACTACATAATTTTCTCTTTTGACTCAATGTTATTTGACTGATCTATCATCATATGCAATTTAACAATAAATCAAACCTATTTTTTCTCCTAAATCATCTCTTCCTTCAATAGTGACATTAACAACTGAGTATTTTCCCCATCCCTGGGCTCTACTGCTTTCTGCTTATCCAAACCACTTTTCCAGGTTTCTTTCCCATTTCTGCCTTTCTTGAGCTTTCTATTGAAATCGCTTACTGTTCTTGAAGGCAATTTTGCCCTCCCCTATCTGTGTTTATTATACCTTTTCTCCTACTGCCTCTCCTTCTCCTCAAAAAGCCTACCCACTCTCCTAGACCCTCTTAAATCGCATTTCCTTTCTGGAGGACTTTAAAATGTTCCAATCATAAAGGCTTTCTCTGGTGTACAACTCCTACAGGTTGGTCATCTGTGCCTTTTATATTGTGATTTTCATGCTGCATGGCTTTTGTACCATGGTTTTTCATATAAATGCCTCATTTCTCCAAAAATCCTTTAAGCCCTAGGAGAGAAGGGAAGCAGCTTATTGATTCTTTCCTGTCCACTCCACAGGATACAGTGCAGGGTCTTGCCCATAAAAATTGTTAATTGATCCTGTCTCCCTCAAAATGGCCATAAAAAAGCCTTTGCCAAACGTTAAACCAATAGGCAATATTAGCCCACAGAGTGAAATATCTGTGAAAATGATCAAAAACAGTATTGTTAGAAGTAAGAAAATGGGGGTATCTCATTTGTTAAACTTTGCTATTGGTAGTCCAGGTTCAGACAATTAAAACCAAGAACACCAGACACCTGCTATGACAAACATAAAGCCAGAGCACAGAGTGTCTCCTGGGTTAGGAACAGACAGCTGGAGCCAAGAAACTTGGTTTGATAGGCAGGCCTGTATAATATGAGCAGCTCAAAGTTCAGCAACTGACAGTTAGAAGACTGACAAGAAGACAACTTTATAAAACTCTCAGAAGTCATTGCATTCACTTCCACGTCCTATATGCAGCTGATTGTGTGGGTTTAACTTTGAAAGGATGTTTCCTTTTGTTCGCTTGGTTAGTAGAGGCCAAATTATTCAATTAATCATCAATTCAGGATTCCAGGAAAAAAAGGCGCTGATCTCTTGGCTAACACTGTTGGACATCTCTGGAGTTACTAGCAGATAAAAAGATCCACACCACTCTCATCTGAAGCAACCTTACCTCCATACCCCTCCCCTGCCAGACAGTGGGAATCTGCATTTTAAAAGTGTAATTACTTGGTGGTTTTGACTGAGAAACATATGTCTTTTTCATCAACTACAATCCATCATAAGATGAGTTAATAACTTTTAAAATGAGGCAGCAAACAGGAAGCCCCCTGACTCAAAGAATCCTATCTGCAGAGGTATGTTTATGCATGTGTGTATGCTGTGTAGTTTTGCATTCCCTCTTGGCTCTCTTTTCTTTCCTTTCTTTCGCTTTTGATTTGAAGAATTCTTTCCCTACATATCCAGATTTAGCCATTCTTGCTTCTGTTTAAAAATAAGAGGGTGCTCATTTGTAGATTGTGACAGCCAGGTGGTGCTGAGTGGGGCTGGTCCCTCGATGAGTGGGACTTTCCAAGTGGCCCATGATCCAGTGGCCTGTGCCATGCATTAGTATTGCTTACCTTGGGTCCTGTGTGTAGCTGAGTGTGAGAGTCTTGCTCTAAGAGTTTCAACAAACTAGACTTCCTAACCCAATTTAGTCCTCTGAGGGCAGTTTGACCTTGTGTTCAAGAATATGAACCCTGGGGCAGACTCCCTGGATTCAAGTATCAGTTCCTCCACCCAGCTCTAGCTGTGTGTTCTTGGGCAAGTAACATAGTCTCTCAAAGCTCTGGCTTCATCTACAAATGGAAGATAAAGTATTGCTTCATTGTGTTGTCATTAGGAAGAGATTTAGCATTCAGGACAAACAGCAGCTTGGCACACAGTAAGAAGTGTTAGGTTCTTTTAAAGAAAAAATCTTAGTATTTAAGCTTTGATCCGTGTTAAAGGAAAATTATCCCGACATTTGTTAAAACAATAAAGAGGTCTTCATAAAACGATAAAGAGGTCTTCATTCAGGACTAGCATCATATGCGTGGAGACTACTGCAATAGGGGAGAGAGATTGGGCTAAAATCCAAACACAACAAAAATAAGTAGGCATTTTTAGCCAGGGAGTGGGTAGGGCAGGGTAAGAGAAC